TAAGTAAACGAAGAGAGAAAGAGAGAGAGAAAGGGAAGCCGCAAAGGGTAAGAAAAAATTAAACTAAAAAGCAAACTTTAACTTAATGAAAATGCAATATTTGCCAGGCTAAAAGAAGATCGAGGGAAAAGTTTTTCCAGCCTGCCGGCAATTTATGCACCAACGTAGGCCAAGTCATGGAAATCAAAGACGACGAATCGAGTTTCAGTTTTCGGTCACTGATTTATGTCTTACAAAATCAAAATCGGAAGTAAAATAATATTGTTTAAAGCAAAATTGAAACTCTGTTGATTATGGCAGGAAGAAGAATTAAGAAAAAACTCCGAATCATTGAATGTCCCCAAAACCAGAGAAGCTATTCGGATTTAAGCCAAAGTGAGATGGATCGAGTGAATTCGGCTCTATGTGAAGCTGCCAACTTTGGGAGAAAACGAAATGGTACAAAAGAACGTGATTTAGGGGAAAGCTGTCCAAATACCTTTGAATCAGAACGCTCTGTTAGTTTTAACCCGGAAAAATATGAAGAATCTAAAAAGAATTCGAATTCTGAAACCTCAAGAAGCGAGAATAGCGACTGTTCTACCACCGATTCAGAACCATGTGAGAAATCCGCAATGGAATCGAATTTAGAACCATCAAAAAGGAAATATTGCAACTGGTTTACCCTAACCATCGATCGGGAAAATCGTCATCGGTTGGAAAAGGCCTTGAAATTACTTGAATTCGTTGAGGGAGAATACAGTCACAGCGACAGCGAATGTTCTCTGAGTTCAGAATCATCATCTTTGAGTCTGAATAATAATAATTATAAGAAATGTAATAAAAAGACCAGCACTCCAAGAATTCAAGCCTTGAAAGATCAAGCATGTAAAATACATAAAAAGACCTATCTACAACAATTTCAATTTGCGAGAAAGAAGTTTTAAGAATCATATATGAAGAAGAAACTGAATTGGCCTTAAGAAAAGTGCTTATAAAACATAAACATATATGAAATAATAAATATTAAGATTTTATAAAGAGGAATGTATTTATTGTTCTTAAAAACAGATTTATGGAATTTTATTCAGATAATCAGTAAATAATTATTTATTTAATTTTTTTGTTAATTTAAAACATAAATATTACCTTTCCTCGTGTTTCGTTTAATTCTTTACATTTGAGTCCCTTAAAGCTTTAACTAAGCCAAAAAAAACTCACTGTGTTCATAATTAATCATTATTTTGGTAGCAAAATATGAAATCCCTTTTGTGATAATTTCTTGTCACATGTAACACTTTATGCATTTTTTATGCGTCTTCTCATAGTAATCAGTTGCTTTTTTCATGTGTCTACCCAGTGGGGGAGTTGGTAGAAAAAAAGGGGTGCCGCGATAATCCAAATCTCATTACGCGCAAGTCGTACTTAAGATTAAAAATAATTATTTCAATTTCTGTGCCAGGCCATCGTCACGTAGTCGCACAGGTGAGCGCGAGGGAAAGCGGAAAATCCTGGAGGAGAGAGAAAAAAAAGTGAAAATTCAATTAGAATGCGCCAACTTCATGTGAAACAGGCAGCCAGGCGAGTCTAACTGTCTGGCTCTGGAGTCGGCGTCTCTCTGTCTGGCTGCTCCAAACCGAAAATGCAATGCCGGCAGGTTGGATTACAGGTGGAAAATGGTGGTAGAGGCAGCAGGTATGTTTTGGGTGGAAAATGTGGGGGGTGGTACTGGAAAGGCGCCACCATAGCGTAATCCTTTTGCCAGCCTGCGAGCAACCACAATAATTTGATTTTACCTTGCTTTAACTTCATGAAAAAGTTTCAAGTTTTTTTCTCCAACACACACATACACCCCATCGTGCTGCTGATAAAGTTTTTAATTTTGCAGCTGAAACTCATTAGCGCAACGAAAGTGCGAAGCTGCGGCAGCATCAGAGGATGATACGTGTTTTAGGATCGTCTGCTGCATATTTAATGGCATCGTTCTGGCCCCAAAAAACACGCAAGCACACAAAAAGAAAAAGAAATCTTAAAGAGCTGCTGTGTATATATATTATATACGCACTTTATATATACCAGATTCTTCTTTCATTATATAAATTTCACCTACACTGCCTGCCTACGGCATTATAAAAGCCGAAAAATCAACTCGGTGGGGAGAACTATGGGAAAACAAAAATTTTTTGGCAAGAAATTGCTACACGAACTGGAAAATACACAATCTACAAAATTCATCTTTATTATGATGTTGGCGGCGGAGTTTCACTTGGGTTGAAATGCATTTAAATGAGGCTTTTGGCCGGGGGCACAAATTAAATTAAAATACTCACATATTTAGATTGTATAAAAATAAAAGGGGAAGTCTGTTTTTAAAGGCATAAAAGATACTTGCTTATTCATAAAAGGTTGTTCAGAAAAGGTTGAAGATATTTGTTTAAGATTTAATATACATATTTGAAAATGATTTCTCTAGTATTTTAATAATATTATTACCTAAGTTTTTACATGAATTTTTTATGATTTATTTATTTAATTTTAGCTCTCACTCCTTAAAATTCCATCACTCCTTGCAGGAACCTTGAATGCCATTGCTATTAATTGAAATCAAACACTCAAAAGTCAGTTACAAAAAAGCTGTCGCTGTGATTGGATTTTCTAGTTTGGCTTTTGATATTGATTGCACCAGGTGGCTGCGTTCGTCCTTGTCCAAAGGATACCGCTTTAAGGAGAAAAAAAATATCCATTCGCAATCCAAAATATATATTTTCTGGGCGCAAGACAATGCAATTCAATTTTTCTACGCCACACAAAATGAACAGCCAAACACTCGGCTGCCTCCCTTTCGGAAAGCAATACTATTTGATGGTGTAAAACTGTTTGAATTTGAATTAATAGGATTAGAATGAAATGACTTTCGAATGGGGTTGGTTGTGGGGGAAGTAAATAAATTAAAGTGCTTTTTGCCATCGAATCGAATGCAAATGTTGATACACAAAAGGACTCCAGAAGGAGCACACAGAGCTGACAGAGTTGATATAGGAGCAATCAGATTAGTTGCCTTTAAAAAATATTTCCGCATGTAGCGGCAGCAGCAGAAGCATTTTAATTATCGCAATTCCCCAGGGCGCAGTTCAACTAATTGCCCTCCCCAGAGGGTGAGATTTCTGGAATGGGTGTGCTTTTTCGGGGGGTTGTGTTGTTCCAATGTCACAATTAAACTATGGCCCCAGCCAAAGGCCCGAAAATTTCCACCCAAAGCAGTGAAAGAAATTTGTTTAGCTAAATTATTAGGGACACTAGAACTAGGAATGTTAGAAACAATAAATATTTATAAGTCAGTTATATATAAAAGTTATCTATGTATATTTAAGCAATGTCATACATACAACATACAATATTACGTTTGATATATCGGATAACTTTCGGTCTGTAAAAAACACATCATATTTTAGTTTTGAAATATTTGACAACTTTAACGATAAATGCATCATTCTTGATATTCCAGTACATCCATCTAACAATATTTTCGATATAATAATGAAAGCGATATTTATTTCTATATATCATATATTTTAAGCTTTCAATATATTTTTAAAATATTTCAAAGCTATCTTAGAATTTCTACAATTAATTCTATACATTTAAACCAAATACCTTGATAAATTTATCCCTTTTCCTTAATAAATTGCATTAACAATAGAATAACAACATATATTTCCCAGTGTATAGACACACTTTTTGGGCCATGGCTTTCGTTGTCCTTATCAGTAACTCAAATTGGCAAAAACTGCCTCGGTACCCCTAATAAGAATCCACAGAAAAGAAACAAAAAAAACATACCACAAAGCGATGTACAAACTGAAAGCCAAAAGGAGGCGCGTGTTGGCTTTGTCCTGGGAAAAAATTAGGCATTCCGTGCGAAATATAGATACGAGATAATCATTTTAATAAATTTCACAGTGACAAATGACTCGGTCCCTCTCTATTTATCTAATCGTCCTTCGCCTGTAGTTCCGTCTCTATATATTAGTCCTTTGTCGTTGTTGCCGGAGGCGTGAATTAGTAATAAGTGATGCTAAGGCTATGTCTTGACTAATTGATGTGGTTACTTATTTTTCCAGGCGGATGGGTAAAAGCTGTCTTTGAACTTTTAGTTGTATAAAATATAGTTCACTAAATTAAGGAAATTTAATAAATAACACCACGTTTAAATTCCAGTTTTAAAACACCTAAATAAATATCAAACTACTGAATATTATAAAATGTAAAAAGTACCAAGTACGTAAAACTAACATCATTTTAAAGCAATTAGTCAATTAGTCAGGAGGGAACCCCGTTTAGGAAAATAAACAGAAATTAAATTATTACTCATATCTCCTCCTAAAATATTTCCCCTGTTACGTTTTTTAATAATTCCGGTATTCCCCCTTATTTACTGGCGTTTATCAGTCGAATTCGTTTGGAGAGAATATAATGATAAGGTCAGTTATTACTACCTTTACTAAATATATTAGTACAGGTCTTTGCAAAATTCCTGCTAAACTGTCTTCATTTTTACGACTAAGGGCAGATAATGATTATTATTTATGAGATGACACAAGTACGTCTTCACGTGTATACAAAATCTGTCTCAGATTAGATAAATACGATAAGATACGAAAATTGAAAACAAGCAATACCATTTGTCTGTTAAAGAAAATGTTGTTTCAGTCTTGAAAGTCTCATAGACCAGTCAAGATGCTTCTCCCTCTTTTGTTTGCTTTATTAATTTCAAATAGTTCTGCCATCCAAAAAATAAACGAAGTATGTTCTGTTTTGTCAATATGTGACAATATTGCATTAATAAGATCACAAGTGGCGGATATTCGGTAAGTTTTTAATATGATTTAATTTGTATTTATTTTAACAAATAATCTAATTCCAATTGTAGCGAAGAGCAAGTTCGTCAGGCAAATATTTTGGAAGGTTCTGCTCTATCTCTTGAGTCTGCAAAAGTACCAAAGAAATTATCACCAAAACAAATGACGAAGTGTGTTCTATTTTATCAATATGCAACAATCTAGCAGCTTTAAGCTCGGAGCTGGCTGCAGTGCGGTAAATATTTCAACACATTTAACAATTTTATAAAAATATATTGTTATTTATTACCCATTGTAGGGCAGAGCAAGAACGTCAAGCAGATCTTTTAGAGAAATCCTGTAAGGCGGACAAAAATCCTCATCCTGCAAATTGTCATGAAGCCTTAAAGGAAACTCCTAAAAGTGGCGTTACTGAGATCCTTGTGCCAGAGTACAGTAAAACCCCCTTTAAGGTGGCCTGCGATCAGGAGACTCATGGCGGGGGATGGACAATCATCTTAAGGCGAACTGATGGCAGCGAGGACTTCTTCCGCGAATGGAAGGACTATGAAGAGGGCTTTGGCAGAGTGGATGGGGAATATTTCGTAGGATTGGCAAAGTTACATGCATTAAGTTCTTCGGTTGACCAGGAACTTTTGGTCATCGTCAAAGATGATGCTGGAGAGCGTTACGCTATGTACGACAATTTCAGGATCGGCGGAGAGGCCAACAATTACACCTTGGAATCGCTGGGATTTTATTCTGGCACCGCCGGTGACGCTCTCAAATATCACGAGGGAATGCAATTTTCCACCAAAGATCGCGACAATGACATTCACGAAACCCGTCACTGTGCCGCAGAATATACGGGTGCCTGGTGGTACCGTTCTTGCTATGATAGGTAAATGTCAAGTAATACTTTCATTTCTAATTCTATTTCTTATGTGTTGTTATTTAGCAATTTGGCTGGCCTGTATAGTAAATCGAGTTATGGTGGCACCATACGCTGGTATACCTCTTCACATATTGAAGCGCTAAAAAATGCAATAACGATGATAAGGCCAAGAGCCGGAGATCCTTAAGGGGTAACAACTGGAACTCCTCCTAAATGATACAATATTATTCGGAGAAGTTCTACATTATTGCCATCGGAATATATATACTTAAATGATTATCCATATATATTTTTATGCATTTAAAATTTTTATTTCTATAAAATAAAATAAATTTACTAAGAAGAAAATAAATATTATATAATATCTGATAAAAAATATGATGGCTACTAAATAGGGTTTTAGCTTCAAGATACTAAAATTGTAGTAACATTTTGTAGTTACTTAAAGTGCTATAAATATGAAATGGGACAATCTCCTTATTTTGAATTAAAAGTTAATTTTTAAAAACCAATAAAAATAATATAAAATAATAATAATAATATTTTTTTAGAATACCTTTTAAGTCTTAGCTTCATTCTAGTAAGTGACTGTCCCGTACACATTTTCAGGTTTCTATTCTACCGGTGCACCGGTGCATTTAATGCAACAAATATATTTTTTTCTAATAAATATTATCTAAATACTCATTTCTGTAAAGTGAGATCCAAATCGAATTGCTGGTTTTTTATTTTTTATGAAAAACAAAAAGAAGGAAATATTTTTCAACTTTGGTAGGGATTATCTTCATTATTTAAAAAAAATTATTTTCTATTACAGAGTTTTGGCCAAAATATGAACTTCCTGGCCCATAGTGCGGTGGTCAGCATTCAGGCAAAACCGTTTCACATTGCAAAAGGTGTATGAATCCTGGGATTTGGAGACCGCATAGGGAAAGGAAATGCTCCTGTTGGCCAGAAGCTGTTCCATGCACGATAGGGGCTCTGGGATTTAGGCGCATTCAAGTCGGAACAATTGGCCAGGAGGAGGAGAGGGTCCTCTCCAAACAATACAGCTTAAAGGAGCTGCCATTGCAAAACAGCAGACGGGCATCCATTTCGAATTGGGTTTCCCAAATTGAAGGTGTTCGTATACCGATACCGGCACCTGAGAGACGGAACAGCTGCCTGAGTAAGGAACTTAAAGCAAATGGCGGCCATGGCGATTTCCGGTATGGGTAACACTGTGTCAAAGTGCCCATTGCGCTGATCTAAAAATGTAAAACGTAGAAAACAAATGTAAACTCTTCTAGAAATGTGTAAAGCATCGATGCATCGATTAAAGATATATCTCAGTGTTATCGGCTTATCGATAGTTATTGAAAATTGTGGCTACCGGCGACAGCTTTTTTCAACACTGACAGTTCCTTGCCACGTGCGTGCGACGTAGAGATATTATTTCAACTTGAGCTTACTTTCATAATTTTTGGGTATGTCTGACGTGAATCCAAAAAAATTAAGCTAGAAACTGAACCGGAGGCACCACAACCTTCTGGTAAGATGGATTTTGAGAAACCCAGCATTCTCAAGATGCGACGCGCCGATCTAATCAAAGAAGTTCAAGATGAACGCCAAAAGAAAGAGCAGCTGATGGCGGACTTCAACGTGATCTGGATATGGTCAACAAGAAAAATGAGGTGTTGACCGCCGAGAGGATTCCTTGCTGCAGCAAATGTCCAAGAATGAGGCTCAGAACCAGCAACTGCTTGAGCCCAATCCGTCGCAGCCATCCGGAGTAAAGAATGACGACGGGCCGACCACCGAGATGGATTCCTTGCGGCAGCAGTTGCAGCAGGAGATCGCCAAGAGCGAGGCACTGCGTCAGCAAATGCTGAAGCACGAAGAGTTGCAGAAGTCCATGGAGCAAAATACCATTCAGATGCAGGAGATGTCGGAGAAGATCGAGGAGCTAACCCGTCAGTGCAAAGTTTCTGAAGATGGGATGAAAGCTTTGGACCTACAGCTGGAGAAAATCAACTATGAGAACTCCTGCGCCATTTGCTTGTTGCCGTGGAGGCGCAGGAGACCATCGCATTATCTCACTGCACTGCGGCCATGTCTTTGGAGAATATTGCATCCTGCAGCACTTGGAGCGTAATTCACGGTGCCCATTGTGCAAGCAGAACGTTATGCTTGGTGACATGCGATATCTCTTTGGATCCCGCCTTATGCCGGTAGGACGTTCGGCTTCTCAAGCATTAGTGAATGCCCCAGCAGTACACAATGCTCCAGCAACTCAAGATGCTCCAGTAGGACAGAATGCTTCTGCCCCTCCAGTTCTTCAGGTTCAGGTTACTCCAGTACAACCGTTTCGACGTCACTCAGCCCGTTTACAACAACAGGCAGCTCAGTGACTTCACAACAGCAATTGCAGCCGGCTCTTCCAGGACAGCTTGGTCCACGTCCAGTACAGCGGATTCTAGCAGCCCTTCCACCGGACTCCAGCTTTAGCTTGGATCATGCTGCAGGAGGGCAATGGTACCACAAGCTTCAGGATCTCAGATGAATCCACGTCCAGTACGTGTCCAGTATCTTCCAGGATATCAGGATGGTCAAGATCTTATTGTGCTGGTAGATTATTGACACCTTGGTTTATTCAAATGTAAAACAATGTTGAGCTTTTTGTTCAAATTTTTCTCCCTTCTTTTGAATTATTTAACTTTCACATGAAATTATCCATCAACATCATTTCATTATCAATGTAATCAATATTTTGGCATTTCCGCTTTCTGAATAACAAAAAAAAACTGGATGGTAACAATCAATTTATAAAAAGACTTTTCACTCTATAACTACAAGTGATCTTAAAGAAAAAATCTCTAAAAAGATTTAAACAAAAAAGAAGTCGTAATAATGAATCAAGAGCAAGATAAATGGCATAGAAATGTTAATCAAAGGGAAAAGTTCTGTACTATAAACTTTGATACATAGAAATTAAAACAAATCAAAAAGAAACATTTAAAATTTAAATATTGATACTATCGACAAACTCATTGAAATGTTATTTAATTTTGGCCTGTATCCTTTCCGAGTACAAGAGAACATTATATTACAATTTATGCCTTGTAATTCCAAATAAAATCTATAATAATCTAAATAAAATAATAATTTATCTCCTATTTTTATAAACAGATATTAGGCCACATTTAGCAAAGTGTATAAAAAAAGACAAGTCGTTATAGCTGTATAATAACGCGATTAGATACTCAGTCTTCAACCTCATTACTTTAAAGCATTTAATTGTTTGAATATAATTTGACTGTTATTCATAAATCCGACATCAAACACACTCAACACACGCAGCTTGGCACATCTATATATCTTTCTGACTCAATAATGGAAATGAACTGTAGACTTTAGTTCAATTTCCGATGCAAGACGATATATTTTAGTTACCACATAGCTATGAAATAATATTCTTAATCATGCTTAAAAAAAAAACATATTCTATTAAAGCGAATTCGGGTACTTCCCTTGCAAAGAGTTTTATGGATTTAACATATTATCACCTGCGGTGATATAAAATAATGATTAAATCCGTTTCTAAGAAGGCTAATAAATATGCGATTAGATAAGAACAAAACGATTATTTAAATGGCAGTTAGCAGAAACGATGTTAGTCTTCAAACTCATTTAAAGAAGTCAAGATGCTCCTAGGTGTATTATTTTATTTTTAATTTCAAACTGTTATGCAGTTCAAAATTTAAACGAAGTATGTTCTATTTTGTCAATTTGTGACAATATTGTATTAATAAGATCACAAGTGGCGGATATTCGGTAAGTTTTTAATATGATTTAATTATTATTTATTTTTAACAATTAATCGAGTTCCAATTCTAGCGAGGAGCAAGAACGTCAGGCAAATATTTTGGAAGGTTCTGCTCTATCTCTTGAGTCTGCAAAAGTACCAAAGAATTTAATCACCAAAACTAATGACGAAGTGTGTTCTATTTTATCAATATGCAACAATCTAGCAGCTTTAAGCTCGGAGCTGGCTGCAGTGCGGTAAATACTTAAACAGATTTAAAGATTTTAAATTGATTTATCTGTTTTTTAATAACAATTGTAGGGCGGAGCAAGAGCGTCAGGGAGATCTTTTGGAGGAGTCTTGTAAAACAGAAACCGATTCCGTTCCCGCAAATTGTTACGAGGCGTTGAAAGACTCTCAGAGAAGCGGCGTTACTGAAATCCTTGTCCAGAGTACAGTAAGAACTCCTTTGAGGTGGCCTGCGATCAGGAGAGTCATGGCGGAGGGTGGACAATCTTAAGGCGAACTGATGGCAGCGAGGACTTCTTCCGTGAATGGAAGGACTACGAAGAGGGCTTTGGTCACGTGCACAATGAATACTTCGTGGGATTGGCCAAGCTGCATGCATTGACCTCTTCGGTTCGCCAGGAACTTCTGGTCATCGTAGAGGACGAAGCAGGAGAACGCTACGAGATATACGACAATTTCAGAATCGGGGGAGAGGCCAACAATTACACCTTGGAATCGCTGGGATATTATTCTGGCACCGCGGTGACGCTCTCAAATATCACGAGGGAATGCAATTTTCCACCAAAGACCGCGATAACGACATGGCTATAGATTATGAACTGTGCGGAAGGATTTTCTGGTGCCTGGTGGTACCATTATTGCTTTAATAGGTAGGTTTATCAAGTCCAATATTATGTTCGTATTTCATTCGAATTTCCTATTGTTTAGCAACTTGGCTGGTCTTTACGACAACGAGTATCGCCTAGGATACTTACGCTGGAATACCCCGAACTTCAATAAAGCATTAAAGACGGCAATTATGATGATAAGGCCCAAAGCTAGTACCCTCTGAGGATAACACCTCTGTGTGTACCCTGAAAGAGTATAATAAATAATATATTCTTTACAGTTTTTATTTAAATTGATTGCTTTATCTCGATCATTGAGAATTTCCAGTAAATTTTAATTCAAAATATTGGCATAGAATTTCTAGGGCTCAGTTAATTATTTTTTTGGGTTACAGAATTAGAATACCCTCAGCAAGTGTAAAATAAATTAAGCGATTAGATAATATGAATAAATTCAAAACAAAATTCTGTCCGATTTAGGAACTTGACTTGCCACAAATTAATATCATTCAATAAATAATACAAGCACTTGTTATAATGGTAAAACATATTCTAATTATATGAGTAAAACAACCATTTTAATCATAACAAAAAATATACATAATTACAAATATTAAGGTTTTTATGTATGTTAAGGTATAATTGTACTTAGCAATGTGCAATTTAGAAGCCACCCAAGAGATGCATTTAAATTTGAAACACCGATGGCGTTTTTAACAAGATATAAAAACCATATAAATACTTATTGATTAAGCATACATAAATTCAATAATAATAGTACCCTCTGCAAGGGTAGTTAATAAAAATATAGATAATTTTAAAGGGATAAGATAAGAATTTCGCAGCATAAGCCGTTCCATGTGATTTTGACGTTTAATTAATGAAATGTTGCTCAGTCTCTAAAGACTTTTAGACAAGTCAAAATGTTGCTCGCTCTAGTTTTTGCTTTATTAATTTTAAATGGCTTTGCCATCGAAACTAAAAACGAAGTATGTAGTCTTCAGTCGATTTGTGACAATATTGCAGAAATAAGATCGCAAGTGGCGGATATTCGGTAAATATTTAATAATTACGATTAAATGTATATCATTTTAAAACGATTTAAATTCCAATAATAGCGAGGAACAAGAGCGTCAAGCTAATATTTTGGAGGGCTTCTCCTTATCCAAGACAGGGCTTGAACCAACGGCTTTTACCAGCAAAAATAATAAAGAATTGTGTACTATGCAATCGATATGCAACAATCTAGCAGCTTTAAGCTCGGATCTGGATGCACTTCGGTAAATATTCAATCAATTTAATTATAAAGTGTTACAAATGTCTTTCTTATGCACATTTAGCGATGAGCAAGAGCGTCAGGGAGATCTTTTGGAGGAGTCTTGTAAAACAGAAACCGATTCCGTTCCCGCAAATTGTTACGAAGCATTGAAAGACTCTCAAATGAGCGGCGTTACTGAGATCCTTGTACCAGAGTACAGTAAGAACTCCTTTGAGGTGGCCTGCGATCAGGAGAGTCATGGCGGAGGGTGGACAATCATCTTAAGGCGAACTGATGGCAGCGAGGACTTCTTTCGTGAATGGAAGGACTACGAAGAGGGCTTTGGTCATGTTCCCAATGAATACTTCGTGGGATTGGCCAAGCTGCATGCATTGACCTCTTCAGTTCGCCAGGAACTTCTGGTCATCGTAGAGGACGAAGCAGGAGAACGCTACGAGATCTACGACGATTTCAGGATTGGCGGAGCATATAACAATTACACCTTGGAATCGGTGGGATCATTTTCCGGTACCGCCAGTGAAGCTCTGAAATATCACGAGGGAATGCAATTTTCCACCAAAGACCGCGATAACGACCTTTCCATAAATTTAAACTGCGCAGTTTACTTTGAAGGTGCCTGGTGGTACAAGTCTTGCTTTCAGAGGTAGTTTAACAAGTCCCATATTTTGTTCAAAATTAAATTGAATATCTTATTATTTAGCAACTTGGCTGGTCGCTATGATAGGTATCGTCAAGGACCCTTACGCTGGAACAACCCTCAATATAGAAATCCATTAATGACTGCAATTATGATGATAAGGTCAAGAGCTAGTGCCCTCAGGGGATAACACCTCTGTAGGAGTATCTTTTTAAGGTGGGAGGTGAGAGTATCTTTTTAATAAAAACCTATCATCTGTAATTTGAACACGGATGACATTATATCACAGATATAAATACATTTTAAAAAGTAACTATTTAAATATATATAAATTCATTTTATACAACTCAATATTAATAATCATTGTACCCGCTGCAAGGGTATACGAAATAAAAGATAAGATTGAGGGATTAGATAGGAATTTTGCAGCATAAAGCATTCTAGAGGATTTTGGAGTTTCATTATAGAATTATGGCTCATTCTCTAAAGACTTTCAGAGAAGTCAAAATGCTGTTCGCTGTATTTCTTGCTTTAATAATTTCAAATGGTTTTGCCATTGAAACTAAAAACGAAGTATGTACTCTTCTGTCGGTTTGTGACAATATTGCATTAATAAGATCGCAAGTGGCAGATGTCCGGTAATTATTTAATACTTATTAAAATATATCTAATTTTATAATAACTTAAATTCCAATAATAGCGAAGAGCAAGAGCGTCAAGCTAATATTTTGGAGGGCATATCCTTACCCAAGACAGCGCTGGAACCAAAGGCTTTAATGAAGGAATTGTGTACTATGCAATCGATATGCACTAATCTAGCTGATTTAAGTTCAGAATTGGCTGCTGTTCGGTAATATGTAACCTTTATTAAACTTTTTATAATTAATTGTATTTGAATGCTAATTCCAGGGCGGAGCAAGAGCGTCAGGCAGATCTTCTAGAGGAGTCCTGTGAGACGGACACAGGTCCTCGTCCCGCTAATTGTTATGAAGCTCTGGAGGAGTCGCAGAAAAGCGGCGTTACTGTGATCCGTGTGCCCAAGTACAGCCAGAAGTCCTTTAAGGTCGCTTGTGATCAGGACACTAATGGCGGAGGATGGACAATAATCTTAAGGCGAACGGATGGCAGCGAGGACTTCTACCGCGAATGGGAGGACTACGAAAAGGGATTTGGCCTAGCTGATGGTGAATACTTTCGTGGGATTGGGCAGGTTGCATGCATTGACCTCTTCGGTTCGTCAGGAACTTCTGATCCTTATGGAGGATTATGAAGGAGAGCAGCGCTACGAATTTGTACAATAATTTCAGGGTCGGTAGTGAGGCCAAGAACTACACTCTAGAATCGGTGGGATCTTTCTCGGGCACCGCCGGCGACTCATTGACATATCACAAGGGAATGCAATTTTCCACAAAGGATCGCGATAATGACATTCACGAAACCATTCACTGTGCTCAACATTTTAAAGGTGCATGGTGGTATCGTTATTGTCAACTTAGGTGGGTATCTAGTCTCCTCTTCTGTTATTAATTTATAACAATTCCCCCCTTATTTAGCAACTTGGCTGGCGTATATGAAGAAAACTAATTTTGGAAAAAGCGTACACTGGTATAGCTTTAACGGATTTGATGATTCACTGAAAACTGCAATTATGATGATACGACCAAGAGCTACATAGTTCGCTAAAGTAACACCTCTGTGTACAAGAAAATAATTTTTTTTGATAAAAAGCTTACACTGGTTCATGTCATTGGACCTCAGTAAGAGATTATAAAGTATTTAAACAGCTTATTTTATAATAAAAAAAAATAAGTACATACTTTAATAAAAAACATAGTGGTTTCTTTCGAAAAAGTATTGTAGTGATAGTAATTTTTAATTGATTTTTATTACCTATTTGTGTGATTTCCGCAGAACGTTTTAATAGTCACTAAATTAATAAGATTAGATACTGGAATATGCCACTTCGTAGCCACCAGATTAATATTTATGGCCATACTAATTAAGCACTTTAATTTAAGGCATGTTGCTGCTTGGGATCTTAAATTAAATGTTATCAATTAATCGTCTTGGCATTTAAAGTGAAAAACTATGATTCCTAACATATAATATATATTATATATATATACCTGATCAGCCTCAGCAGCATCTTTCTAGATATGGCTACCTCTCTCTCTCTCTCTCTCTCTCTCTCTGTGTATCTCTTTCCCTCTATCCCTCTTTGCCTAGCTCTAGAGATACCTCTTTCTCTCTAGCTCTCTCTGCCTCTCTCTAGTGTTCTCTTAACTCGGAGAGTATAAAATAGAGCCGCTTCAGCCGCATCGACCTCAGTCTGTCCGTGACCTTCCCAGTGCTTACATCTATTGTGATAGTGCGTAGTGATAGTGATTAGTGATAGTGATTACCCCAGCAATACCCGCTGACCAATGCAATCAGGAAGAAGCTCACTACGATGACACTATGGACAAGCCTCATTGAAGTCAACAGGAATATATCTCTACACTGTAAGAAATTAATCAACGACGAATAAGGATAACCATGTGACCTCTACTGCGGTAAAAAATTTTAAAAAATTTAAAAATTTTAAAATTTAAAAAATTGACAAATTTTAATTCTTTTAAATTAGTAAACACAGTATCCAGATTTATTATCCTAACAAAAACTAACACAGAGCAGTTTTCCGAATTGAAATTAATGCTTTTTTGGCTTAGATATGCTCAAAATATATTTACACCGCTGCGTATACGTAATTTTTTTTTACTTGTACGAAATCTATTTCATATAATATAATTTTAGTCAGAAGCCTAAAGCGATGTAAAGGAATTGTTTCCGACCCTATAAATCATATATGTTCTTAATCAGCATCAAAAGGCGAATCTATCTAGCTAAGTTAGAAGAAAAAAAAAATTCGAAATTTTTTTCAACATTTTATAGAGGGTTTTAAGATCTTTAAAATTTAAAAAAACTGACAAAATTTTAATTCTTTTAAATTAGTAAACACAGTATGCAGATTTATTAACCTAACAAAACTAACACAGAACAGTTTTCCGAATTGAAATTTAGGCTTTTTTGGCTTAGTTATGATCAAATACTATTTACACCAGGGCGTATACGTGATTGTTTATCTTTGGCTTTGTGATGATTGATTTCACATGATCCTATGGGTTATTTTTTAATAAAATCATAACTTTAAAACAAGAAAGGAAGCTAACTTCGGCACGCCGAAGTTTATATACCCTTGCAGATAGAACTTCTATGAATAGGAATCCATACAATATAAATTATATATATTTGTGTTAAAAACAATGAAGTAATACCTGCTTTCATTTCATTCCCTATACATATTATATTTGCAGTTTTACATTCACTGATTTGCATTTTTCCTCCACATCAAACGATCGTTTGTATGGCACCTATATGATATAGTCGTCCGATTTTCATGAAATTTGCCACAAAATTTAAGACTTATATAAAATGGCTATACCTCAAATTTGATGAAAATCAGCTGAAAACTAAAAAAGTTATAAATTTAATTGTATTAATTTCTCGATCGTTCATATGGGAGCTATATGATATAGTAGTCCGATTTTTATAAAATTTCGTACAAAATTGAAGAGTATAGTAAAATGGCTATATCTCAAATTTGATTCAATTCTATTGAAAACTGAAAAAGTTAAAATTTTTTGTAAAAATTTTCCGGTCATTCCTATGGCAGCTATATGATATAGTCGTCCGATCCGGCCCGTTCCGACATATATACGAGTGAGAGTATATACAAGGCTAACTACAAAGTTTCATTCAGATAGCTTCAAAACTGAGAGACTAGTTTGCGTAGAAACGGACAGACGGACAGACGGACAGACGGACATGGCTAGATCGACTCGGCTGTTGATCCTGATCAGAATATATATACTTTATATAGTCGGAGGTGCCTCCTTCACTGCGTTGCAAACTTCTGACTGAAATAATACCCTGCAAGGGTATAAATATGTTTTAGTTATTCCATAGCATAGTTTTCTTTCCTTCTCCTTGAGTATCATCGGCTGTTAGCTTGCCGCACATTTCAGCAACCGAAAATTAGTGCCGAAGATAGAGAGCAGCTGCTGGAAAGAATTGCCGGATGTGTGTCGAGTGTTTTTAATTTTCGCTTGAACAGTTTTACTTCCGCTTGCCGCGCTCAGCACACCCCCTTGGACCCCTTAAAAGTCAATTGTTTGCTTGGCGCATTATGCAAATTATGGAACTACAGAAGGAAAACTTTTAGTTGTTTTGGCACAGCTGTTGACAGTTGCCTGCCATTTTTTTTCTGTTACGAAATATGAAAAATATATATAATAAAAAAACAAATAGCTATACGTATGCCAATATTTCTCAGGTTTTATTTGATATATATATATAAGGGTTTGTATAATCATAGACTTAGGGGTCTAAATACAATTCGATTCGATTCGTAGAAATGATGCAGCGCCGCGGCGGTAGAAAAGTTATTACCACAGTTAATCGTAGATCTACACCTAAGCTACATAATAAATATGCCATAATAATTATTAATAGTTACCGTATATATGCTCGAAATAAATCTATATTTTTGGATGCTCTCATGTGTGATTCATACTTAAAACAGTATTCAATATGCAATCAATCGCTTATCGAAATTTTGGCCCGATCAATTCGCTCGTTTTTGGATGTGACAATGAAAAATACAA